CAGAATAACCCAGTATACATCAATTTAAGTAATCAAAAATAATCCATTTCAAACCAGCTGCAGCAACAGGGTTTCTGTGATGTCAGCTTGGCATCTGTGAATCCAAACACCTACTTTTCTTTATCCATTTCTGAGTAATAAATACTCAAAACTACACAAACCAGTAGAAGCCAACATATACCAAAGCCTCTGCATCAAGCAAAGCAACATGATTTCAATTAACTTCTGCAGTCAGTATGAAGTGTCTGAATTGACTCTGTAATACCAAAAGCACCTTCCATAACTCACTACACATGCTGATGAATGTCCAAGGTTCACTCTCACCCTGGCCCCTAGGGATAAGATTATATTTTGAGGAGTTTTATGGTGACAAGGAGCTGGGGTTTTACAGTGATGCTACAACAGATTTGCTGTGGACATGCATAAGAAAAAAAAACAAGACAAACCAACAAAACAACAAATAACAACCCAAAACCAACAACTCCAATCCAAAATAAAAATTTATACAGATATAAACACTGTACAATTAATTGCAGAAGTAAAATGAAAATGCTTTGAAAGCACACTTAACTTTGTTGCTTCATACACTCAGTACTGGTTTTGGCTCAGATTATAAGCACTGTGCTAATAAAGATGAGCAAATTTCTAGCTTAGCATTAAGCATTTAAGCTTTTGAAATACAAATCTTCTGAAGGATAATTTTCAATTCTTCCTGATATGATATGCAATCAAAATTAACTCTGTGTATTTACACCCATCATTTTAAAGAATGCTTTAATGCTAGCACACTTGGAATTAAAACCTTTCAGTAAATACAGGAAGAAGTAACACAAGAGTTTTGCAGATGGGTTTTCTGGCTTGTTTCTAGGCTCAGAAGTTTTGATTAAAGCCAATTTGTGAAACAAAGTACCACATGTAGCTGGTGGGAAAAGCATAGAGATAATTTAAATAGTTGTCAATATGTTCATCTTTGAGTATTGCCAAATTTTCAAAAGCCTAGTTCTTCCAAATTGTACTATTCATACTTGAATATTACATGCATGCACTAAAATTCTGCTTTGAAATACATTTTGACCAATATTTCAAATCACAGATTGCAAGGTATCTTAAATGCTGACTTGGTCAGCATTTTTCTACATCTTTGTGACAACTTTGAAGATTCAGGTCTTGAATTTTGGTCTCAAATATATATGGTTTAGAAATCTCTCAAATTCAAAGGTCCTATGTGTTAAATGAAATATTTAGAATTGGCATGAGGTCAAAAAAACCAACTTTTTCCTTAAAGAACTTTTCCTCTCAAAAAATTCTTTTTAAAAAGAACGATTCCTACAGGAAAATGAATAACATCAGATTTTACTTTTCTAAGAATTGTATCAGATTTTCAACTTCTGTACTAGTATTCATATATGCAAGTATAATGTAATTTATATGCAAAATGCAGAAAATAATATATTTTCAACTGACTCATTTTGTAGGCAAATCAGCATTAATTAAACAAACTAATGTGTGAAAAGCTAGATAAAAATTACACCTTATAAAACCAAAGCAGATGTTTTAACTTATAGTTTTAATATAGCAATCAAAGAAAATTCCAAATACTGTACAGTGAAGTGTAGTATAGTACACTATATACTGTTATAATACACTATTGTTACATTACAGATAAAAAAAATCAAATATAATTAGTACAGCAATCACAAATAAAACAAAACAAACCTTGCTGGATAACAGCCAGTACTGTGGAGATGGTATAGTTTCTATGCTAATTTGTTTTTAATTCAACATGTAAAGCACTTACTTTTTAAAAAGATTTTTTTCTAAATATATACACTATTTTAATTCCTATTTATACATTTTAAATAGCATTCCCTCCTAAAAGTGCACTCTTTCACTTCTTGGCAATAATCCTCATCAAACGTAAAATAACTCTGAAAATACCACTCTTGTGTCAACCTTTTATTGCTCAACCACAGGCGTAAGGGCTCAGAGGGAATCCTGCATTCTAAAGATCTTAAGCAACTTCTTCATGAAGCTAAACTGATATCCACAAGCAAAACAAAGAAACCACTCTCTGTTGTGGCTTTTTTTAACAGAAGGATTAACTTCATATTCTTATTATTTTACAAAAGCATGTAGATTCTGATATTTAAAAATAGGAGCCAAACGAATACAGAGATTAACAGTGGCATCTTCTTATATCATTCATTTTCCATACAACTCAGATTGAGCATCACTCTCCCAACTGTAAACATACCAAGAATTTTGTTTCCTGGCATTTTTAGCGCATTGAAAAAGTAGCAAGCAACTCCACTAACCCCATGACAGTGAAAACAGATTCTACTTTATGAAAGATTGTAAATCAAGTATTTTGGCCTTGCAGGGCTGTTAGCACACAGCCCTGTGGCACTGTGCCCCTGTAACACTGCTAGAGCACTCTGTCAGAGGCAACGTCTAGCTTGTATTTTGTAGCCAGCACAAGACTAGTAAACTATATGGGATTCACAAAGCCAACAATGCACACAGCTGTTTTGTGACTACAACAGGGAAGACAACCCAAATACATTTGATTTCATTTGAAAATCTGCTATTTCTTTTCCCTCTCTGAAATGCAAACAATTCAGAGAGAAAAAGTGCTATCAAAAAGTCAATCTTACTAAGTAGCCAGCCATTTGTAGTAAAAGTCTTGCATTTCCTGGAAAACTGGTCTGTTTTCCCAAGGCTTCCCATATGCTCATCAGCAATCTAGTTCATTCCCCTTCTTATTTTTATACTAGGTCTGTATTTTTAGTAATCATCTTTTCTTTGGGTTATACATACTAAGCCATAGTAACATTCAAGGTTTTCTAATAATGTGTCTTCTTTGCCATGAGATGCAGTGTAGCATATCTTTGGCCTTCAGACAAGAAAGTAATCAAGGTGGGTACTCAAAACCACAACTTCTTTCCACAGGCAATTTGGTAGCAAGAATTTGGGTTGGTTGCCTTTACTTTTCAAGAAAAGGGCACCACTCTTGACATTTGAGAAGTCCTACTGACACATCTTCTCATCCACAATGAGCCGAAGTCTTCCCTGCCCTTGTACCCCACCAGCATTTTCCTGACTCTAACAGGGAATTCTAACAAGCACACTGGTGCTCCTTAGGCACACAGATTTGTGTCAACTTATATTTGCACCCAGCGCCAGCAACCAAATGAAACATCTGTTCCAACTTACACTTCAGTGTTCTTTATTTCACTTCTTCTGCACAGTCACACATCTCACTGGCACATAGATGAAGTTTAGCTTCACTTGAGTGTATCAAAAGCAATCTATCTTTCTCAAAACTACTGATATTGAATGCATGAAAAAGCTACGTGAGATAAGAACACTGCAAAGAAATATGCACAATCCTGCCTTCCAGAATTCACACCAGTGGATCTTGTGATTGACACCATTTTACCAGTCCTGTGAGACCATCTTCTTTTAGGAACTGGAGGTTTCTGATCTACATGACTTGAGTGGGCCCAAGATGACACTAATGGTGAGTCAAACAGAGCTATTATCTGTTTCTATGTCTATTTAGATAAGAAGCAAAATGTCAAATTACTGCTGAAATGGGAAGTGTGTCAAAACTAAACCAAGCCTTCCTCTTTACACAGTAAAAGGCACATGAACTTCTGCAGTCTTACCAGAAAGGCATGAAAGACGCAAGCATTTTTCCTTGAAATAAGAATGATGTGCAATAAATATTTCAATTTATTTCAAACTTGAAATTCTCTCATATACACTGCTCACTCATTATTTTTCCAGCCAAGGAAGACTTTTTTTTTTCCTAAAGAAAAGGTTAAAACTGTCAAAGCATTGGTTACCTGGTTTAAAATACAAGAGATCCAGGAGATTCCTCCCGCTCAGCCTCTCCCAATTGAAATTCTTTCCCAGGAACAAGTCACTGCTATACTTTTCTAACATTGTGATAAAGCACAAGCCTCTACTCAACATTTTCTATATAGATGTAGCCTTCAGCGAGCTAGACTGATTCATGGGAGACTAAATGTTTTCAGAAGTCATGGCAGGCTTCCAGGTGCTGCATGTGCATCCTGCTTCTCATTGAATAAGCCCTGCCAGTTAATCAGTGCATCAGCAAGGTCAGTTCTGGCAAGCCAATTACTTCATACATTCCAAGTTTCCAAACTGCTAACTTACCAGACAGCAATTTGAGATCTTAACATTTTTCATTTATTTGTGAAAATGTGATTTTTATATTTTACCTCTAAGTAGTGTACAAAATCATAAAATATTTGTACCATCTACATAAAAAGTTAACCAACAGAGGCATTTTAATTTACTTTGACAAAAGAGAAGGGCTATTCTTTAAGTGACTCGCTTCATTTCAGTTCTACATACAAAAATAAATCCTTCCTCGTGGGACATTTTATCATACTAACACACTTAGAACTGTTTAAGTGATTAGAAATGTAAAATGTGAGGAGACTTTTCTGAATACAAACATATACAACACAAACCACATTTGTGAACTGGTAAAAACCTACATGTGCACAAACACAGACTTCAGTATTTAAATGTTCTTAATTCCTTTGAAGCTGTATTAACATCTTTTCATCCATTCAATGTTATTTTACCATGAGAAGAAGCAACAATAGTGCATTTAAATGACTATGAAGATAGGAAGCAAAGTGCAGTATCAGAAACACATTCCATCCTTAGGGAGCAAGCACAATGGCTGCTTCTTGAAAACTAGCATTACAGGTCTGATGAACACACTACTTAAGTGGATATCAGCTCTATTATCACTGATGCAAGGAAATCTGCATCACAATCTGAAGTGAGGCTGAGAGAGGTGGGTAGTCTTTATAGACACTGAAACAGCATGTATTCCTTGTTTCCACAGAGTAAACAGCAAGCTTCTAAAAGCTCAATTATCACCAAACACTTTAGGATAATGTGTGTTAGAGAGTCATTTCCTTCCAATAAATTGTTAATTTGCTCTTAAGAGGACAGCTGTTATTTCATTTTTGCCATTTCTAACCAAAGCTAGCAATCTAATTCTTCTAAAAGAAATGTATTTGGCATTGAAGATTTGCTCTTACTTGAAATTGCCAACTTCTCTCCTGTAATTGTCTCAAAAGTTGAGCAACCACCTGACCAGTTTGGTATTTGGGAGGAAATAAAGACATGCTACCAAGAGAGCACCAAAATGGTTGTGTTGGCTCAGACAGCCATGCATAACCACACCACATTCAGTGTATCTTCATCATATGCTATGTGGCCTTTTTTCTAACTTGTTTTATAACTGACAATAGGAGAACTAAGACTTCAGTTTACTAAAGTTACACGTATTCCAAAATTTCTGAGAGGAGGATATGAATGAAAACGTTATTAAATTGGAGAAGTGCCAGCAAAATGTAATTAAAAGTACTGTATATTCTGCATTATCAAATTGAGCAGAAGTTTAGTTTCAGTTACTTTTTGAAATTTATGTCTAATTTATTATAACAGTGTATTATTATTGGAATTAAGTACCTGGGACAGAATTAACTTTGCCATGTTTCTAGTTTTGCCTGTTCTAGCCCTTCCAGTAACCTTAAGCTAGCATGGTAAGAACCTTGCATGGGCTTAAATTTTAAGACTTTTAAGAAATTAAAAATTACAAAGAATTTTCAAGAACCCACATGTACAGCAGATATTCATCTCAGTGCATTTCCTAATAACTAATTTACAGGTAACAGAGCCAGCCTGGGCAGCAGTATGGTAATATTGAAAGCTATTGCCAATCACATGCTTATCATGCACTGAATAAGATGATATAATCTTTGACATACATACAAGATTTAGTAACTAATCACTTTGTGTGGCCCAGCCAATAAACATTACATTTGAACAGTAATTTCTTCTACCCTTATTAGATTTTAACCTATCAAGAGTGATCCATTGGCTCAGTTGCATTAGTGATTCCTGCATCTTGACTATCCATCTCCTCAAGCTCCTCAACAGAATTTCCCTTTTGTGCTTTAGACCTTGCAGGGAATGTTGTTCCCACAGAATTCACCATGTTACCATCAGTTGATTCAGTATTCAAGTGTTCAGTACCACCTGGTGCAGAGAATGATTCAGGTAAGGCAGCCTGAAAGCTCCCAGTTTTAGCAGCTGAACTCACTGCCTCTACTTTTCTTTGAGATACATCAACTGATGCTGACTGCTCTGTATTCTGATCCCGCAAATGTCTATCCATTGAAGCCTGAATAGAAGACACCATTTCCTGCAACTTTTTTCTCTGTGCCTCAATCAAAGTGGGGTCAAGCTGCCTGCTGTCTCTCATTGTCACAACTCCCGGAGCAATTCGAATAAGCTCACTGTTACCAGAAGCAGCTGTGAATACAGAAGGCTCAATTTTAGCAGAAGGACTGAAGTCCGTTTCTGTGCTATGCTTTCTTAAAAGTGGTGTTTCCCTGGCTCTGTGATCATGTTGTTGACTACTAGATGCAGTTCCTAGGGAATGACCCTTTCCTTGAAATGCAGTTATGTTATGTAGTTGTTCAGATTTCTTTTTCACTACTCCACCACTTCCCAACTTCAGCATTCCATGTGAAGGACTTGCTTCCCTGCTTCTTGAAGTAGCTTCTGCTCGCACTTGACTTAAGGCCTCTTTAACCAGCTCTTCAACGTCAGGACCGATTGGGAAGTGCCCAGCAGCATCCACACACAGCTCTAATCTGTCTTCTGCTGCATTGTACACAAAGTTTTTACCAGGTAGATGTGGAAAAGTGCAGTGCTTGCCATCAGCCAAACCTATAAAGATAGGAAATGTTATTCAAAGTGCTAACATATTTCAAGGCATGTTCTGAACACACAGTAATTACTGTATTTAAATTTACTGAATCAAGTAAGTAAAATCAAACACTGAAAGTTACTACTGTGGGAGAAAAAACTTAGCTCTTATGCCATATAACAACCACAGTATGCTGCCAAGATACTACTGCCTTTATGATGACTCTGATGAAGAGACAAAACTGTACTATAACAAGATAAAATAACTACAACTCACAGTTCTATGCTTGCAGTAATGTAAAAAAAACATCCAAACCTCATCACTACCATCACCCCACACCCCCAAAACCACACAAAACCAAACCATCAAAAATCAAAACCAGAAAACTGACAAGGAGAACACTCCAAAACACTATCTGGAGAAATACTATTTAAGACTACTTCCATACTAGTTAGAACTGTAGTAGGATTACTGGTTGCCTAACTGCTACTAAGCCTGAGGTATTTCAAATTTGCTGTTTTGTCTTCTCCTATGAGAGGAAGTGTTGCTAGATTTACAGAAGTGTTTCAAGCTTACTGTATTTAGTAGTCCTGGAGATAATAACTATTAACCTTTACAAAACAAACATAAGGCATAATATCTTTGATCTGCTGTTTGTTTAATTGTCCCACTTACAATTTGACCAATCTGTTAAAACTGAGAGTTCACTAGATAATTTAAAGTTCTGAAGTTTCTGTGTGCCAAAAATGGACAACATTAATTTTTTACAGTTTATCATCATAAAACACAAAATAACTCTTTCAACTCTGTTCCATGCAGGCTGTGGTAAAAGCAGTAAGGTATCAATTCAGTGATGGTGGCTTTCTGTGAGTTAAAAGCTAACTGCAGATGAAAACTGGGCTGCAACCATTCTCTTCACTTAAGTTCCATCAGCTATGCATGAAGAGCTACAATAAAAACAACACAGTTTAAAAGGTGCCAGGAACAGGTAAATTATTGGGATTTTTCCTCTCATTCTCAAAATTCTTGAAGAAAACCACCAGAAATTATTCAGAAGGGTAGAAACACAACAAGCAAATTCTATTTCTGTGTTGCCAAATACAATGCTTTCAAAATGAGTATTCTGAGCAACAATGGAAAAGGCCATTCAACAACTGGAAAAGTTATTGTTTGTATACTAATGAACCAACTGATCAATCTTACTTATCCTCCACAGCTTCTGATCCACATGTTCACAATTGCAGAGGACCTACAAATAAGGTTTTACTTTGAGAGCTTCAGACATGTAGCTCCTTCCTTTATATATCCAGGGGAACCAACAACCAAACAGCCAAAATGCAGAACACCTACCTAAGCCTGAAGAACATATTTTAAGTACATAATTTAGCAGCTCAACTTTCATTTGCAAAAGAGGGTACTGTAACAATTCCTATGACTGACCAAAACTTCCTCTGAAAGTGCAATCCTGAAATCTCAAAGTAAGATCTTAAAACAAGATCTATTAAATCAAGTTTCAATTGATTAACAGTACCTACACTTCACAGACAGCTTTGTTCCAAAGGTCCACTATGATAGGTGCATTATTACATTACCTAAAAGATTACAAATAGGTAAGTAGCTTCTTAGAGTGGAAAGATTGTGCACACTGGAATTATTAAAGTGTGCTAATGCTGAAATAGGAATTGTACCTACCAAGACGGTCTATATTTGAGAGTATTGCACTTCTTTGTATGCAGGCATTTTGCACTATTATATCCTACAGCCTTATTTCTTACACAGTAAGCTGGGAAAAATGGCTTTTAAGTCAGACATTTTCTGCAAGTTGGGTTAAAATTCCTTGGATTCGTTTCAGGCTTTCAAATCTGGCTAGACATTAATTGGTCAAAAATACTCTTTCCGTCAGGCACTGGTTAAACTGATTCACTTTCCACAAACAATATACCACTCGTTACTGTACAAGCATAGTAAAAGAAGGAAATCTAAAAGGAAACATATCTAAGACACTTGCATATCAACTCTATTATCTAGGCTAATAATTCAGTGAGAGGTAGTGGGCACTGAGTACATCACACATTTTAATTTATTTCCAGAAATAAGTAAGATAAGGTTGATAAAACTGCCTAAGAAAAAAATCAAACAACAAGAAAGCAGCAAAGGAACCATTATAATAGCTGAAACCACAAGATGTAAACTGTGAATGGGAACATTTCATCAAGAAAATAAACTTTGAGAGAAAATAACTCCTTAGTACTTTCTTCTCTAAAGAAACAGTTGCTATTTGTTATAGGAAGTATCTGTAAAGCTACCTAAAAATCAAATATATTCTACTTGCTTGGTTATTCTGCACAGAGCCCAAGATGCAACATTCAGCAATTCAAGAAGCAGATGGATAGTTTAGCTTTTGAACAATAATCTTAGGAATATGAAAATCAAATTTAACTGACCATTTAAATTTAAAACATGCAGTACTCCATATAAAACATCTACTGGAAGCACATAAGAAAAGTAAACTCCTTATCCAGTAAGTGCCTAAAGTAACAGGAATAAGTCCTCTGATTTTCTTATTGTTTGATCTTTACAGGAGAAAAAATCAAGAAAACAAAGTCATTTGACTTCTTTTGGCCATATAGTCACTAAAAAAAATAAAAAACCATGTTTGTACAATTCAGGAAGTGGAAATTTCAGAAAATAACAGGTTGAAGTTCAACTAAATAGGTTTAGGCAGATTGCCTAGTCTTAGTCCATCTAAGGTAGCATTAGGAGTTCTCCAATATTACAAGAATGAACATTTTCCACAGTAATAGAATAAAAAAATACATAGCATATTTATGCTTACAAGTGCTTACAAGTGACTCAATACCAATTTACAATTTTGAGGATTTGGAAACAGAGGAAGGAAGGAAGGAATAAAAACAAAACCAAAAAAATACCTGTTGTTTTCTTCATTATGCTGTAGAATACTCCACCCTGCTGAAACAACTGAGGAAGCCCCTTTGCGTAAGACCAAACATCTTCTCCTGTAAAAATCAAACACGAACTGTAAAATTAAACAGTTGCATTTTCATACTATAGACAATGGGTGAAAATATAACTCCTTTAATCAAAAGTTGAGTCCTTGCTCTCTCCTATGCAATTAAGAATTTGAATTTTTATTGCAAAAGCACAGAACAGGAGCCTGGGACATTGAAAGACTTTCAGAAAAACATACCACTGTCTGCAGTCAAATATCCTACATGTTCTAGTACTAAGGTTCCCAAATTTGATTTGATCCAAAGTGCAGCTCCTGGTTCTTTGCCAGGCCCTAAACATGAGTCTCCATTCCCTTTCTACCTCTTCTTTCATCATTAAACTAGGAAATTACTTACACGCTTCCAGAATTGAAGCACATATCCGCACTCATTAAAACTTGAATTCTATATCCCTACACCTTCTCAAAAATTAGAGTTCAATTTCACAGCTGCCACACAGCAGACTTAATACTGCAGCTGAGACACAAACATCCACCCAGGCAGCTGCATAGAAGCTGTCTGTACCTTGCTTCTCTTTAGAGTTAGAAACAAAATACCAACTGACCATGAGGCCCCAGCAGTCCTGTATAACCAGTGTTTCTCAACAATGCCAAAAATGGCATTGAAATGTGACAACTTTAAATGCCATGGAGAGAAAAAAAAACAAACCAGGACTACATAAGGAAAGGAATATAAGGAATAGAAAAATTGGGTTACAGTGATGGAATATCAGTGACCTAACAGCACCTGCTCAATAAGTTCAATTCTGCATTTTGCCTATACCCTGTTCCTTATTTTGCTAACCACTTACCTGCTTCAGAGAAGTGGCATGAGCTGTAGCTGTCTAAGCAGTACAAACAAAAATTCTATTCTGATAAATTCTATTCTCCTGATGCAGAAACAACTACTGTACATACACATTTTCAGGAAAAAAAAAAGGTTTTCCCACTTTCCATCAAATATTCAGGGAACATATCAAGATATTTTAGATAGAAATTGCCTCCTTCTGTAGAGATTGAAATCTCAATAACCACATCTCTCAAATTTCTATTAAGATTGGAAAATGTAAATCTTCAACTATAGTTAACAGGTTGTACTACTTGGACAGAGGTAGCTGGAATGTGTGAGACTGTAAAATACAACCCACCAATGTCTTTGCTTGCTGTAGTAAGGAAAATAAACTAAAAGAGCACAGGACGCACAGGACTCTGTATGCTCGCCTGCTCCCCCACAACTGTCACTCACCTCTCCACTTCAGGCATTACTAAAGCCCCCATTCTTTTTACCAAGGTACAGTGCACATTCACCACATTCTGTCTTTAGATGTTTTAAAGGAGACCTATATAATCTGATTATTTTTGAAAGCATTCCTTCAAACCATATATGCTCAAGCTCACTGCATTCATTTGCACATCAAACTCATAAATTTGGCCTTCACTTCCAAGATGAACATCTGAGTAATAAAACAACTGCTCTTCTTTCTTATTTTCTGTGACCTAAGGAAGAAAGTCTTCTGTCACTGCTACCTGTGTCCTTACTCTCACTGACAATTTGAAATGTACTTCCCTATGCACAGTGTCTCCGGAGCATTGCTGCTGTACCTTTCCAAGTCTTCCTGATGGTTTAAACACTGCCCACAGGAATCAAAATAACCACTGCACTGAGAAGTAACAGAATAATACAGCTGTCAGTCCACTGAAGCCAGAAGAGGCCACAGCCAGCAGGACTCCATCCTAAGGACTCCTTTACTGCTGCATCGAGCAAGCCATTACTATTTGAAGGACTCCTTTTCATTCTACAAGACAACTACCGGGCTTAAAGAAGAAGCCCAGTTTTAGAATTACTGACATTTTCCAATGAAAGATTCCCTATTTGCTGTGAGCATGATTTTTCACAATTTTTCAGCTTTGCACAAGGGAAGCATCACTGTTTAGATAGCCTTTTATGCAATACTAACAAGTACTACATGCAGGAAAGCAGGGAGAGCAGGGCTCACAATACAAAAGCATCGGCCACTGAAAGAAATACAAACCAATGACACTGTTTTGATAGACAAAACACTGGAAGATCAAAAAAGCCCACAGCTGCAACTGGACTTTCCCAGATCAGAGGAACTTAGTGTGTGTGACTCAACTAAACTACATTTGAGGTTTGCACATTTTCTTGTTAGTTGAGTTTTACAGTTTGTTTGGGATTTGTTTGCCATGGTAGCAAGATGCTTATAGGTCACAAGTTAATTTGGGTGATCATTCAGTTAGATTAAAAAGTCCCTCAAGACACTACATTTATCAAAGAGATTATACTGTTCCTACTCCAGTACACACTTCCTCAGACCAGACCCCAATCCCAGAACATTAAGGTATGGGAACAAATCCAGACTGTCCTACCCACAAACAGGCCTTGTTCACTGGTATAAGCTAGCCTGCAGCTGCTGCAAGGCCAGGACTGTCACTTCAGACAGCAGAGAGAACACACAAAGTGCAACACAAATAAAAAACTTAATTGATAAATATATGTTATAGGGAAGTACAGCTGGCTTCAAAGCAAACTGTCTAATTCCAAGAAAATTCTGGCATCAAATAATACATTAAATTTAAACCTGGCTATTTTGATTCCCATGATGAATTAATCAGTGAAAAACAAACCAATCAAAATAAATTCATATCTGGCTTGCACATATTCAGAGTGCCTCTCCATGGGTGTAATTAAATCTGCTTTAAATTATAATGTTTTAAATATGTTAATGCAAAATTCCAATTCCTTTAGTAACTTCCCTATAGAATTCTATATTTTGAGCTAAACAAAAAAAAAAAAGAGAAAGCTTTACAAAAAATCATGCATAATATGTTAATTGGTCCAGAAACTACAGTATTTAATTTCCCAGGGCTTTTTTTAAAATTCTATACAGAAAAGTTAAAGAACATGACCTAAAATTCTAATAAGTAGCTGAGATCAGAAGAATTCTAGTAGCTGAAATAAAAAATATTTCAGCCTATATGAGACTCTGTATGAAAGAAAATGTTTTAAGCACATAGAATAAATAATCATGGATGTTTGAAGACACACTTCCACTATGGACATTGGGAAAAGAAAAGTGTGTCTGGCCCAATGAGCTATCTCAACAGCATCTCCCCTCTACACATGCTAATCTTACTGTATTACAGGAACGTTTTTAGCAGAACAAAGTTAAAGCTGGCTTTCAGACCTTTGCAGCAGTTCTTAGCAGTACAGAAATGTTGTTGAGAAAAACTAAGGCTTCTTGTCCCAAAAAGGCTGAATATGCCACCTTGAGGAATTGCCACCCTTAAGAAAGTCCTAAGCAAGGACTTAGGAAGTTTATTCATCTGTTGAAAAATCACAGTTGTTGAAAAATCACAGTCTATTAACTGGATTTCTCCTACAAGTATTTTTAAAGGAAAATGAAGACCCAATTAGAAAAGTGATGATATAATAATAGCATCTTATTCAGTAATCACGTAAGGTTTTATAACTGGTTGGTTTATCACTTGCTGTTGCTTTTACCTCTATTAGTAATGCACAATTACTGAATGCAGCCAGAGGAGGGTGAGATAAATTCTATTCTAACCAGTGCTCTTAAAGCAGAATCTAACAGTAGTGATGGCAGAAACAAAAAGTCATTCTTGCATACAAGATCAGCTCACAGTTTATGGATAAGCACCTGTAAAATAATGAGACACACCTTAATGCTAAAGTAACCAAGATATTTTTAAAGCATGCCAGTTTTTTGAAGTCAGTAATTATACTTCCAGCAGTATTTCCTGCAGACAGGAAAGCACTCTTTTAAGCTTAATCGCAAAATTAAGACAACATTTAAACCTAACTTTTTCCTGCACTTTGGAACTGGGGTGTAAATGTCGGTGTGATGAGGTGAGGTAGTGATTCAGCACACTGTCTTGTAAAAGACACAGGAGTAAACAATCACACTTGGAAAAGAATCAAAGTTCTGCTTGATGAACTTCTGACATACCACTCTATGATTACGTAATTGTTTCGTTTCTGAAACATCACATGCTTTAGCCACACCAAATCCCTCCAGCAAAAGAGAAGGCTCTCACAAAAAAAACCTGTAAACATGACTATTCAACTGGTTCGTAGAGCTCAATGCATGTTAATTACAGTTCTACTTCCTGCCAGAAAGCAGCAAGAACTGAGAAAGAAAGGTGAAAGAATGGGGGTCCAAGTCTCCTGAGTTCTAAAGGGAAAATAAAAACCACAGGCACCTGAGAAAAGTCCTTTTGTCTTGAATTATTCACAATCACATTTACATAACTGATAATTTAGAAATATAGCTTTGCAACCCTATGTCCAGCCTCTGGAACTCAGACCCACGTTTAGATTCTTTCAGTTTTTTCTGTTTATATTCTGAAATAATACTTTTCTTAGCTCTTTAAAAAGACCAGATCTTCATTTAAAACTATTACCTAATGAGAAAATGTCAAGTTGATTTGCTTAAACCAAGACAACTCCCTGTGGGGCCAAATGTCAGGACTTCATCCTATTACCAAAGTGAAAATTTGTTCCTCAAACTTCCAATGAGCAGACACTGAGCATCCCCCTTCTCACCCCTGCTCTTAACTTATTTCCTGAAACCTGAGGGAGATGAGGGGAAAAAAAAGTCTGTAGCTTTCACACATACACTTCAAATGTGTGCTTAATGAGAGGAAAGAAAAATAAGTGAGACAGGACAGCAGAGGCAATGCAACCACCTCTAAACAGCAATTTTTAAGAGTACTTTATAGCAAAGAAAGAACAAGTATCTCATATACCTCATATATACATTTCTAAAAGTCACTAACAGCACATTAAATGTTCTTCTAATAAAGGAATAAGGGAATTAACCTGAATAACCATGATTTAAGAAAAAGGGAAATGTGTATGTAACTACAGTTTGCAACATGTTACCTTCTACTTCAAAGCACAATTTTGAACAATAACACGAAGTCATCCTTACCCATGAGCGTTGCCAGAAGACAGAGTGAATACATCTCCTTGTCAACTTGCTCTTGCAGATCCTTTGAGGAGATCTTACTGGTCACAGCAACATCTTCATGCTTCACAGCATGGGCTGAGTGTGCTGAGGCAGCCTGCCTGCCTTCCTCCTTGCCCTTCAGGATTTCTATGGCAATCCTGTCACCGTGTTGCAAAGGAACAGGCTCGTTTTCCATGCCTTCTTTGGGAGGCAGAAGCTCTTTTGGAGGAAAGCCATAGCGAATACATTGCAAATACGGGGGAATATTAAATTCTTTTGCTATGCCTTCCTGGAGTTCCAAGAAGGTGGTAGTGCACTTCAAGGTAAGCATTGACTGCCTCCCGTCATTGGTGGTTATTCGAATTTTCTTTTCTTTTGCAGATGTTGGAGAATACGGGGTTTTAGTTGGTGTAGCAGGTGCGGACGAGGGCCCCTCACGAACAACCCCAGGAGAAGCAGTCCTGGGTTGCCCTTTATGCTCTTGTTTCAATTTTTCACTTTTCCGTTTCTGCATTACAGAAGCCTGGTCCGTAATGTTCTGCTGAATAGTTCTTTCAGCTTTGCTCATATTCAGCTCCTCCTTGTGCAAAGTTTTAGTCTTCTGTCCAGTCAAAATTATTTTGGTTGGAAGCTGGGACTCTAACTCTTGTCCTTGCTGTACATCATCAGCTCTTTGGGCATGAGCACCATCGATATTTACAGGGGTATAATCATCAGGGTTCCTTTTGGCTGTTTGATGCAGTATTGTGTTGACAACTTTCTGCACAAGAATCTCACTACCAAATTCACCAGGGAAGTGCTTGGTAACAAGTTTCATGGCGACATCATACACGTTGCTGTTCAAAGAGGTGTCACTTTCATACTGGAACCAGTAGACAGTCTCTCTCACCACTCTTCCACCCCACTCTAGAGTTATAGGAAAAGCTTCAGGCAGATTGTCATATTCTTTACCTTCCCAGTAATGCTTGAATCCACAGCCACATTTGCCACCTGAAGACCTAGTATTAGTTCTGTCTCCATCAATATATAAAACAGACCCATCTTCTCTGACACGACGCATTAAGTTACCGTGGCACCAGTTACAAACAGTTAAATTACTCAGGCCATAGTCTGGTACCAGCACATCCTTCACAGGATTGTAAGAACACACCAAACTGTTCAGGGGGAAACTGTAATTTTTGTCAGGCCTTAGCTGGCCGTGAGTACTTTTTGCCAGATTGTACAGCTTCCCTCCAGGAGCCAGCCACTCTGGGGGAACATGATGCTCTGAAAGAGCCCCACAGATGAGGCACCTGTGAAGACGGTTGTCCATCACTGCTTTTTTGGCAGCTGCAGTGACCTCTTCGGGCTGGACCCCTATTACACCAGTCCTTCTGTAGAAATATTGATGCACATCAGCTACAAGACTGGGGTGGATACCGTGTTTACTCATGAAAACCTCCTCCATTGCAGCAACAAGCCTCATCAAGTACTTATCCTGCAAACTTCTGTCTCCTCCAATTATACAACCACCATCCTCCTCTAACATGATGTACTTTTTGATAAGGTCTTGAGGAACTCCCCAGGCTTTAGGAAGTAGCTTCCTAGGCAGCTTAGGTAAAGAAGCACCTTTTATTCCAACCAGAGGAATATAATGGTTACGTCCTGAGCTACTCCACGCAATACAGATTGGCTTGTTCAACATGCCATCTTTCCCCATGCATTTTTCCAGAGGTATGAGACCAGGGAGGAATGTTGCTGAATAATCTCCAGAGCTTCGCATTCCACTCAAGGAGTCTAACAGAATAATAGGCCGGTGAAGCACGTTGGCCAGACCAAAGATGTGAATATTCCTAAGGCCCATTGGCACACCTTCTGGAGGAACAAACAAAGGGTCACATTCATTGATAATGTCCTCCCACTCTGCAGCATCAATAAAGTCATGGAAAAGTGCCTTGTAGTGGCTTAGATTCTCCTCAAAATGCTTCTTTAGATTCTCTCGGAGAGCATGCCAGAACAGTTCCCTGCCAACAAGCGCTCGTGAGACTGCATGAACAAGGCAGTGGCCATCTCCATCCACGTGGACAGGAATGAGGCACTCTTGACTGTTATTTGCCTTCTTGATGTCCTCCAGGGTGTCGTGCAGGTAGATGAGGCTGCCTGAGCGGTCCTTCCCGTAACCCATGGTTTCGACGTGCTCTGGCTCAATGAGGAAGGCGCGGTCACCCAGGAGAGAGCAGTCAAAGATATCTCCCTGGTTCATCTCCGTGAGGAGCTTGGCTTTCCCAGTCTGCTTGTCCATCCCATAGCGGGCCAGGATGGGGGCCAGAAGCTTGCAATGGTAGTTGGACAGGCCATTGACTTTGACGAGCTCAGTGTTCCTGCGGGGCGGGCCGGCGCCGCTGACGCCCAGCAGCGCATTCCGCAGCAGGTTGTGCAGCACCAGGTCGGGGTCCGTCACCTCCTCCACGGCCAGCAGCTGCCGCTGCTCGTGGCGCCGCCCGCAGTCCGTGCACTCGATGCTGCCGCTGCCCTGCGGCCCGTGCGCCGGGAAGAACAGTCGCGCCTGGCATTTGGGATCGGGGCAGGTGCCCGAGAAGATGCGCCGGTCTCGCTTCTTGGAGGCGGACGGAGGCGGCGGCTGCTGCGGAGGGGACGGCGGCGGCGGCTGCTGGGGCTGGGACATCGCTCCGCTCCGCTCCGCCCGGGCTTCACCCGCACCCGCTCCTCCTCCGCCCTCACAGGCGCATTCCCTGCGCGCCGGACAACGACCGCCGCCTCTCAGACGCCGCCGGTGCCGGTGCCGCCCGTGCGGTACCGAGCGCCGCCCGCCGCCCGCCGCCCCCCGCACGACGCGGAAGCCGCCGCCGCTCTCACCGCCCCTCGGCCGCCTCAGTGCCCGCAGCGCCGCGGCCTCGCGCACTTCCACGCCGGCGGCGCACGCGCGGAGCCGCAGGGGCGGATGGGAGCGATAGTTTCGTTCACCGCCAAAGCCCGGCGTAAGAAAGGGACCTACGTGCCATGGAGAGACTACAGAGACCGTGATGCCATGCGGCGGAGAGGGGGAGGGCGGGGGAGGGGCGAGCCTCCGCGGGTTGCTGGGAAGCGTAGTCCGCGGGCGGGTGGGCCGGGAGGGACGCACAGGGCGCTCGGCGGCGCTTGTTGCGCTTCCTGCCGGAGCGCTGGGGGTGGGAGTAGGGTCTGAGGTGACACCCCATATGTATATTCCTGCTCTGTCTCGCTCGGGTGTTGGTCTGAGGTGACACCCCACGTGTTAACTCCCCCTCTGTATCCCTGGGGTGCTGGTCTGAGGCGACACTTTACGTATATCCCTCCTCTGCCCCCCCCCCGGGGGCTGGTCCGAAGCGACCACCCCGCGTCTACATCTCTCCTCTGGCCCCTCGCCCCCCGCTTGCTCACGCCCCGCAGGAGCACCGGGGTGAGGCTCCCTCCCGTGTCCCTGTCCTCCCGGACAGGCTGCCCAGCTCCAACAGACTGCTGCCGGCAATGGGCTGACAGGAAGGGACAGAGCGGGGGCCGGCCCCAGCCTTCCCCTCAACAGTGCTGCTGACGGGGAATCTGAGGGCTTCCGAGGGCTCCCCGGGCACGGTGGTTTCTAAAAGCACAGGAAGCAGCGTGTCCTGCCAGGCAGAGTCCCCTGGCAGGCAGCACTGCCTGCAGGCATGGGCACACGGGCTCTGACCTCAGCCTCTGCCCCGACAGCCACCGCAGCCAGGCCCGGGCGGCGGCGGCTGGGCTGTGCCTGTCCTTTGAGCTCCAGGTGTGCTGGAGCACACTCGGGGTGTCTGGAGCTCAGCACACCCTCGCCGAGGTTTCGATTCCCGAGAAGCCGGGCCGCCTGTCCGGGGGGTGTGCTATCTGAGCGGAGGTGTTCCCCGGCTGCCGGCTGCTGATAGCGACAAAACAAGGCTCAAGGAGACGCGAGAGCAAGCTGTTAACACGAGTGATCCCTCCAGCTGGTGTCACGTAAAGAGATAATGGGGGAACGGAGCTGGCGCTTACGTTATCTCCAGCGGCCGTCTGAAACGATGCTTTTGCCAAAATGAAATGGAATAATGTTCACAACTTCCAACCTAATTACAGTCGGCTGGCAGCATATTCATGTGGAGAGCTCAAGGAGGGATACTGTCAGCAAACAGACGAGTTAAGCTCTCTGAAAGCTATTCCAGATAGAGATTTCTCCTTAAATTAAGGAAAACAAAAGCTGAATGTTGGAGGACAAGGTGGAACCTCACAGGGTATTTCCAAATACCAGTGACCTGTCCCTATGAACACAAGGGAAAAAAAAAAAGAAAGAGCACTTCCCCCCTCCTCCATCACCCTTATTCTACCAAACAAACACCTGGAATTTACATCCCAAGGCCTCACCTATTCTATAGTCACTCAAATGATCTAAAATTAGAAGAAAAATCATAGAGATTGTATCAGAGAGATAGTATTGTGCTTGTACTTTCCAATACAAAGGCTTTGTTTCATTTTCATTAATCCATGAAAATTTATGCATCTGACATTTAAATTATAAAGATTCAGATGATTAATACACACAGAAAAAAAATCTGTTTCTGTGCTTTATCACAGGCTTAAGGGAAAAAATGGCTCCGGGCCTGGCCTTGTGACAGACTGAGCACTGCCACCTTCCAGTGACAGCAGCTGAGCTGTGCATGTTCATTCCCTTTCACTTTCAGTAATTTGTCAAGCACAGAAAATACGTGTGTGTGTGTGTGTGTGTGTGTGTAAATGTATGCATTCCACAGTGTAATTTTTTATCTGATCCTTTAAAATATGTGGCAGGTTTGAAGAAGAGAACATGAAAATTACAAGACAGATTTTCATTCTTGCCTGCTACTAATACTTTTTAATGTGTATGACAGTAAGGTAGCAGCATCACCAGCTCCACAATCCTGCCAATGTGCCTTGTACTTGGGGATAAATCAGCAGTCTGTGCCCATTCATCCCTTAGTCTCCCCTTCATAAGTAGCAGGAACGCAGTAAAAATGCAAATAGGGAAGCCTCTGTCCTCTGTGAAACTGTGTGGCAGCTACTGAGAATGGGCACCATTCAGGGCATCGGCCGGTGACAAGCCTGTGCTAACCCGGCCTGCATTTTGAAGAAATGTCTAAGAATTTTTCCGTAACATCACTGGCCTCTGGAGCAATCCAATTTTTCACATAAGGGAAAGAAACGCTTCTGTTACTGTTTAATAGTACTTTGTAGTCAATTATAGGGGGCACCCTGGTGAAATAATTCACTTGTACTGTCAAAGCCAATAGAATTTAGGATGTTTTGTTTACTTCTGCAAACAGATGTTTTTATGAAAGCACTCTGACTATAAAGTCAAAAACATTTCTCCTTTCTATTCCTTACATTAATTTCAGTGATAAATTATATTCAGTAGAGGAATCTATCTTTTATAGTGGTTTGACCCTAATTAACATGGATGTTTTTGATGAATGACATTTATAAGTTTTCCAGCTATATGCAGACTTCTGATCATGATTGATTGCCCAAGCAATTTCTGCAACAATAAACTTTCATTACAGAATCTTTGATAAAAATCACAATTCTCTGGCAAACGAATAATTTATGCAAATTAAATGCATGTTTATTTACAAGCTTTATACACTGTATCTGAAAAACAGGATAAGGAAGTTCTGTGTTGTATCACTGAATACAGATTACACAAGTAGCTAAATCTTTAAGCAGTCTTAAAGGAAAATTCAGGAAATACAGTGTCTGCCTTGTTAGTAACTACCCTGCAGAGTGTAGCAATGAGTCCTACCAGAGATCACGGCAAGAGACATGCTATTTTCACAGGCAAACAACAACATCACAGTCAAGAAAGTAGGATGGAAGATCACACTGATTACAAAGTTAAATCTATTTGTAATGGGTCAGAAGAGTGATTAATTGTCAGCAACAGGACATACCTGAACTCGTGCCACTTCGTTGATGAGAACCAAGCACTGACAGTCAAAATACCAGGCATTCATTTCAGGCCCAGGATGGAAGATGTAAAAATTTCAGTTTGATCTTCACCCAGTGCTATTCCATCTCTTCTTTGTCATTTACCCTCAGGAAATGGGTCATTCCCAGGTCAAAGCAATTATTTTTCAGAGGCACTTGTTTCTTCAGAAGAGCAATGACAGAAGTTTCCAGCTAAATAGAAACAAAAGGCTTGTGCAGCACGCCAAAGAACAGATCATGATAAACTAGAAGATGGTCTGTGTTGTCAAGAAATGAATGTTATTATCAGCCTTTAGCTACACCTCAGCATGCTCTTCAGAAAGGATAGCTAAAATCTGGTGTTTTCTTCATGGAAACCTTGCACAGCTGATCCTGCCTAGTCTGCAAGTCTAGCAGTTTAGCCTGACCTGGCTCTGAAAGCTCTCTACATGTGCACTCAAAAAAAGAGGAGAGAGAAAACAAAAGTGTGAGCTAGAGGAAAGATGGCAATATCACCACATCCTACAATGAATGCAACATTTTTTTTATTTAGATGTGACAACCCAGCATCTAAAAAGCACGTGTAGACCCACAACTGGAGAATACTTATGATACCATAAGTACTATTAGTAGTACCAGCTACAAGGAGAGAACAGCATGTGTTCCACTGTACAGAGAAGCTTCAAGTGTTGTGTGGCCTCTCTATTTCTTGCTCCTGTTAAGCCAGTTTGGCACTCACTTCCCCACTGCTGCTGAACCACATATCTTGTTTTGCCCATCACTTAAGCAGGCGTTGTTAAAAACCCAAGCGCTCACCACCATGCTACCCGCGGTATTCAGGTGTTGGTCACAGGTCTCCTCATCTCCTGGTCCTCAGAGGCAGCGTAGCCCAGCAGCATTCTGGAAGGACAGGAATGACCACTGAGCAACTTTGGCTTTCATGAACCTTTGGGTTAATTAATAGTTAGTCAATGGCAGTTAGAAAACAGCACCTGACTTATCCTGGGGACCTGGGCAGGTAACTCTTGTCCTGGATACATCCAACTGAACAGCTTCCCTCTTCTACTGCCTTCCAATGACCTCCAAAGTTAAAAAATGTTTTCCTTCAGTGCTTTCACAGAGTGAGAGCTTGAACTGCTGCCATTGCACCAGGTTCAGCAATTCACACCACTGTTAGATGCTCCCTGTTAACACTGATGTCATTCCTACATGAGACCAAATTTGGGCTGCTCAAAGTGTGGAATGTGTATTAGCAAAACATGAATGCATTAGGAAAACAACATGAAAAGTGAAATACTGGGCAGAGGTTCCAGTACTAATTACAACCATCCAAATAACCTCAAAGCTCAAAGGCTTTACTGCAGCAAAATCAATGTTTCCAATGGCGGTTCAAGTACAACCTAGTCCAGTAAGAGCAGCTCTACAGCTGACTCTCATGCTGGGTTAATCTCAGCATCCAAGACAAGCTGCTCAACACTGGTTTGGGTTTGTTTACCTATGCTTTCCTTTTATTTCTTGGCTCAAAATATGGTTCTGAGGCCCTGTCTTGAAAACATTTCAAATTGATTTCACATGCAAACTCCTCTGAAAAGTTAAGGCTCCACATTTTTTTACTGTGAATATTGCTTTTCAAATTGATGTCAGCACAACTGGCAAACAAAATGGATTCATCAGGACTGTCAGTGTTCAGGGACTGTCAATAGAAAATCAATCTTTGGGGCAGTAGACCATTATAAAAAAAGAGAATGTAAGTGTTATTAGCTTAGATGTGTAACCTGATTATATGGGAGCCTCAGTGGCAATTGCTGTGAATGTTTATCTGCTTTCCATAGTGCTCTGTCAAATACAAATTGAATGAATGGTACAATCTCATTACACTAAAAGATAAATGCCTCAAAATAAAACAGTTTGAGCAACTAACACACTCGCTGCCCTATTGATTTGTATGTTCACAGTGTATGCAGTCACAGATCTCATCAGCTGTTAAAGGTTTACTTAAATCTGTATAACAATCCCATGTATTTAAACATCCCAATTAACTGTCTGG